CTGCCCTTCTTCTGTCCTGATCACACTGAGGCACCTCCTGCTCTGCCTCTCAGGGTGTCCAAGTGCCCTGTGCTCCCCCAGCAGCACAGCAGCTGCTCTCGTTGCTTTTTCCCCAGGCATCTTCATCATTGGAACACAGTTGATTTTTGGACTTGAGAAAACTCCAACGTTCTCAGCCTTCAGGACTAATTTGAAATGGAGAAGGGCAAATTTTCTAACACCCCGGAGGGAATCGCTTCCTTATAGGAAGAATTAGTAGCTTATGAAACGTAATTCCTTAAATGTTGTGGTGTTTACACTATTGCTTTGGAGACTTAAAGCTAGACAGAATGGAAAAATGGAATGATCTCTGCAGCTTTGTTTGCAGAGGACAAACTTGCTGTTCAGGACTGAGGAGGAGAGGTAAAGTCCCACGCTGCAAATGGTTGGTGAGCAAACAGTTGGAATGAGTCTTCTGGGCTTGTTCTGTTCCTGTATTGGCTTTGACTGAGGTGGAAGGCAAGCTGTTAGGGTAGGTGGGCCAATGGTCTGACCCAGCAGGAACGTTCTTGTTGGGTTTGTTACAGATAGCACAGATCTCCACCTTGGGGGTTATTTTCTAGTAAAAGAGAACTCTTGATTCTTGTTTCTTTAGCTCCAAATTGCATTTATGGTTTTTCTAGTAACCAGCCCAGGTGGTAACACTCAGTGGGGTGTCACAGAGTGGCAGAAGGGGACAAGCAAGCTAGTGCCTGTTGAATGGGAGCACATTTCCTAGACTGACTCATAATCAATTGTGTAAAATCTTTGGTTTTGCCACCAGAGGGGCACAGAGACTCTGATGAGATGTAAACTTCTATAGAATTAATCTGCAGTGAGCTGTTATGTCACATTTCTTCCCATGAGGTGCTCAGAGTCCCATCCAGCCTGACCTTGAGCGTCTCCAAGGACGAACCCTGAAAATACCTATGTGAAGAAATTGATCAGAGTTGTATTTACATTCTGAGAGAACGTGTCAAAGCTTGGATAAAAGTGTGTAACTTAAAAATCTTAACTTCAGATAAGGCCCCTCTTTTTGATTTCGAATGGAGCACACCAGTGTCTTACCTTTTCCTTTGTTCCTGTGGTTTGTGAATGTTGCAACTAATTTCTGGATCTTCTCCATTTTCTAAGAGGGGCTGCTGATAATACCTCTAGCCTTTATCATGTTTCAGTGAAGCTGACTGGACGGTTACAACACTTTCACTCTGACGTTGTGCTCCTCCTTTGTTTTGCAGGGGTCCATCAGGAGTGAGAGCACAAGCGTTGGACAGCGATGGGAATTTGGTGGATGACTTTGTATTTGATGGTGGCACCGGAGATATTGGAAGCAGAATTCTTCATGTCAGAAACGCCCCTTCTCCTGCTGCCACCTCCTCCCTTGCCATTGCAGAAATGATCGCTGATGAAGTGAAGCAAAGATTTGAATTGTGAATGATTGCCAGGTGCAGGGTTGTTTTACCCCTCTTGTATGTGTAGCGGCTTGTCTGAACTCTGCAGCCTTTCCTGATGAAGATAAAACAGGCAGCGTGTTGCTGGTACAAGATGTGCAGTGCAAAAACAGCACTTGAAATGTTTGCCAGCCCACAGCTTGTCGGCTTCCCGAGTAGAGGATGTTTGGTGCCGGGCAAGACCTGCTATGGTGCTGCCATCTGCAAGAGCCAAGCAAATGGGCCGCTCACAGTGAGGGCTTGGCTGCAGGCTCAGCTGGAGCAGGCTGTGGAGGGGCTGGTGCTCGGTGCAGGGTGAGGTTCTCACACCAGGCCCACAGTAGGTGGGAAAGGAGGAGCCTCTGTGGTTGGGTTGCCCACCTCTGAAGAACCCCAGGCACCGGGTGGTTCTGTGCACTGTCTCTCTGTCACTTTAAATTGGCTTGGAGTCATCAGACCCCTAACTGATGTTAAAATAATGGAGATGGAAGGATAAACCCTGCCTAAGGATTCTTCTGCAGATACAGAATTCAAGGTTTTAATGGAGACTGAAAGTAGCTGAATATAGCTATGTACTTAATAGCTGAATTCAGAGCTATGTACTTAAATTTAGAGCATTTCAGAGAGAAATAAGCCTGGCAAGAGATTACCAAACCCAAGTCAATTTCGACTGTGAATCTCCAATTGCATCTTTATGTTATCTATTTTAATATTGAGCTGAAATTAAAATGTATACAGAATCAGACATTTTTCATTTGGCTTAGATCTCGGAAGCCGTCATGAATGGGGAACTTCTTTGGTGGTTTGAGTTGTTGGGGTTTTTTTTTTTCCTCGTTTGTTTTTTACCCTTTGAATACTGGTAGGACAAAAGAAGCTTATCTTTGTACAGCATGTTGAGCAACCCAGTGGAAATGGCCTTTGTAAAAGCAAATGTGCGGGGAGGGAAGCTACAGAAACCTGTCTTAACTGAGTCATGTTGCATGCTGCTTCCCTTGGAGCCCAAGCAGCGGTGAGTCAGGAAGGTTTCCCATTGCCCTCCTGGCTGCAGGAGGGGAGCTCACCCTTACTGGTGTTTGAAGCTGTATCAGAGGTGCACGCAGAAGAGAATCCACGTGGAGAACATGCTGTAAAATACAGCTAGATGTGAAACGAGTTCTGAGTCAACTGAGCATCTCAGCGCGTTCTGCATCATTGCTGCAAAAGGAAATACGTGGCCTCAGGGGCAAAGCACTTCAGAATATTCTTAAAGCAGATGTTCACAGGATGTTGGGTAACAGATAATTGTGGGTAGTTTGCTACCAGGCAATTTGCCATGTGCTTTTTTTTTTTTTAAAGGTTGCTTTCTGTAGTTCTCTGCCATGCATGAAGAAGGTCAGGTATGCAAATAAGGAGCCTTTTGAAGTAAAGTTGTGTGCTGTGAGAGCAGTGAGGTGCTGGAACAGCTGCCCAGAGAGGCTGTGATGCCCCGTCCATCCCTGGAGGTGTTGAAGGCCAGGTTGGATGGGGCCCTGGGCAGCCTGGGCTGCTGTGAAATGTGGAGGTTGGTGGCCCTGCATGGCACAGGGGGGTTGGAGCTTCGTGATCCTTGAGGTCCCTTCCAACCCAGGCCGTTCTGTGACTGTGAAAAGCTCTCACCTGTATTCCTGCCCACAGCAATACTCGATGAAGGTTCACATGTCCCAGGTGCTGTAATGTTGTACAGTGGTATCTCACAACGGAACAGCCGTATGTCTGCTCCCCTCCAGAAGTGTTGCCAGTCAACAGTAAATACTACAGAAAGATTGCAAAAGTGACTTCCTCCCACACGAGGTGTGGCCCTGACATGTATTAACAGACCAAGAACACTACCGTGTGTAGCACACATACACCACAGTGAGTCAGTGCATTTAAAGTGCGCCCTGCTGTGCTTTTTGCTCTCAGGAGATGGTAGCATTTAACTGAAGCCAGCAGAATATTTGTGTTTTTAAAGCTTGCTATAAACCTTTCGTAACGTCACTCATGTATTGCCCACGAAGTAGGAAGATGTATGAATGTATGTATTTTTAAAAGGTCCAGTTCACTTGGGTGGCTCAATCAGCTTGCCTTTCTCTGTTGTGATTAAAAGAGTGTATTTTTCCAAAAAATGCTGTAATGTCTCTCATCATAGACAGTCCCAAGTTGGAAGCAACCCATTTTAGAGGGAAGTTTTGGAGTCAGAGGGTGGTGAGGCACTGGCACAGGTTGCCCAAGGAGGCTGTGGATGCCCCATCCCTGCAGGCATTCAAGGCCAGGCTGGATGTGGCTCTGGGCAGCCTGGGCTGCTGGTTGGTGACCTGCACACAGCAGGGGGTTGGAGCTGGATGAGCACTGTGCTCCTGTGCAACCCAGGCCATTCTAGGATTCCATCGGGTTCATGGAGTCCACCTCCTGGCACAACCCAAATGATGAAATGCTGAGTGCCCCACGCTGTGGCTCACTGGATGGCTGCCCTGGGAGAAACTGAGTTCCTTCATTTCACTGCATTGTGTGCTGTTGTAGCATCGATTTTGGGGCCACCACTGCCTCACCTTGGAGCAGTCGGGGAACAACTGGGGCTTCCTGGGGGCAGGGATGTCCCACCTGGAGGAACACAGGCGGTGGGGGCTTGGAGCTGCACTGTGGGTTATGCTTTTCTCCTTGCTCACACTTTGGGTTTGATGAATGTTTTCCCACTGAAATAAAGACTTTGTTGGAAACTTTCCAGCAAACAGCACGGGGCAGGAGGAGCTGTCAGTGCCCGACAAAGCATCACGCAGACAGGCAGTGTGTTCCGATGCAGTGCATCCCTTTGTAGAGAAACCCTAAGAAGGGGTTATGTAAAGTGCGAGCCGTGAATGCAATGAGCTCGGAAAATTTGGCTGCTCGGGAGGCGGAGGGGACTGAAACCAGCGCTCTCTAGGGGGGTGAAAGGAACTGCCCGGAGCTAGGGCGAGGCTGCTGTTGACAGGTTACTGAGCAACACGCCGCTGGTTTTTCCCAGGACGGCCGTTCTGCTTGATTCTTCCGTCAGGGCAAGGCTGCTTCACAGAATCACAGAACGGCCCGGGTTGGAAGGGACCTCAAGGATCATGAAGCTCCAACCCCCCGCCTCCAACCTCCACGTTTCATAGCAGCCCAGGCTGCCCAGGGCCCCATCCAACCTGGCCTTCAACACCTCCAGGGATGGACGGGGCATCCACAGCCTTCCTGTAAAGAGGGAAGGAATAAGGGAATGCAAGGAGGGGCAGCTGAAGGGGCTGCCGGGGGGGCGGCGCCGCGCTGCGACCCCCGGACCTCGGCACGATGCCCCGAGCGGCGCCGCCCCCCGTAGTGCTGAGCGCGACGCGGCCGGCAGGTGGCGCTATAGCGGTAGGGCAGAGGGCGGCTTGCCGAAGGCGGCGCATGCGCGCTGAGGGCGGCGGCGGTAGCGGGCCGCAAGGAGCGGGGCCGACGGCGCCTCAGCCGCCGCCCCGTCAGCGCCCGGCGAGCGGCACGGAGCCCGGCCCTCTACCGCGCCGGATGTGATGGCCGCCCGGGCGGGGGGGCGAGCCTAGCGCTGCCCGGCCCGGCTCTGACGGGCGGCGGCGGCGGCTTCTCCTTCCCCTCAGCGCTCCCTCCTCGGTCCGGGGAGCGACTGGGCGGGTTGTCCCGATGCGGAAAACAGGCAGCAGCCATGCAACCGCCGCCGCAGCCCTACGAGTTCTTCGGTGAGGAGAACGGCCCGAAATGGCGGGGGCTGTTCGTGCCCGCCCTGCGCAAGGTCAGTCCGGGGGTGGCGGTGCTGAGGGCACCGAACTGGGGTGTTGCTGAAGGGATCGTGCTGTGCTGGACTCCTGGCTGTGAGTGGAGGTAAAGGAGGAAGGCTCCTTCTTACACGCAGGGGAAACGGCTTCGTGCTTTGGGTTGGGTGTCAGAGGGAAATCCTTCACCCTGAGGGCATGGCACTGCTCACAGCTATGGGGCCATCAGCAGAGGGGTGGCAGCAGGGACAGGAGGTGATTGTCCCCCTCTGCTCTGCTCTTGTGAGGCTCCATCTGCAGTGCTGTGTGCAGGTCTGGAGCCCCCAGTACAGGAAAGGCAGGGGGCTGTTGGAGAGGGTCCAGAGGAGCCACAAAGATGAGCAGGGGGCTGCAGCACCTCC